ATGCCCTCTCTGTTGCGAGTCTTATCTGTCGTTTTGTCAGAGGAATAAGAGACAAAGCCAGAGAAATAAGAGACGTCCTTCGAACGATTCCGACTTTGCTTTGGATTGTGCAGCATTAAAAAAAGAAAATCAATAGCAACAACAACAACAAAAGGCCGACTTTCAACAAAGATCAGCATCTGAGCTAGGTAGCTGTATAAATAAAAGAGAAAAACAAATTAAAGTTTGATTTACTGTAAAATTACACAAACACCCGCAATAATTTAATTAAAAGTCTGGACTTGGAATTAAATATGGACACAGGATGCCATTTGCAACAGCCTTCCCTAGTCTGGTTGTCCTCCAGATGTTTGGGACCACAGATCCCATCAAAGCCAGCCAGCATGACCAATGGTCAGATGCAGTCCAAAAAACATCTGGAGGAACCTGGTTAGAGAAAGTAGCTTTAAAGGTTGCAAGGCTCTCTAAGCACGTCTCTGAGCCACAATCACCAGGAGCATCGCATACAAGGCCCATGAAAAACAGAACTTTAACATGTAGACCCTCCACACAGAGCAACTTTATTAAAATGGACAGACAGATGTGCTGCCTGGGGGCTGATTTGTAGGCCTGTGATTTCCAAACTGTGCTGCAAGAAGATAGTAAGATCACCTCCCAGGGAAAGCCTAGGTGAACAGATGAGTTTAAAGTAGGTGCCTAAATGCCAGTAACTAGGTGCTCATCTGATGTTCACTGGGAGCGCATTTCAAAGGGAATGTGCCACCACACCCAATGCACAGATTGCCCAAACTTCAAAAACCTACTGCGCATCAGTTTGCCATCCTATGCGTCTTCCACGGAACTCTTGCACATTTTAGAGGATGCTACTTCCCTGTATTTTCAGGAATCCTTTTTTTTATTAGCAATTTCAACATGACAACATATCAAGCCATAACATATTCATTATTTCCCCCTCCCCCCCCAAACACTCCCTCCCCTCCCCCAGAGACGTCCCTCAGCTCCTCTCTCTGATTTCTCAGCATATATTATTCTCTGCATATTGTAAAATTATACAAATCCTTACATTATCTGTCTACCATGTTATCAACAGTAACTCTATGTATGTTTATTCAAAACCTGCCAAGGAGTCCAATTCATTTTGTTGTGTTTTTAAATAGTTTGTATAAAGCTCCCATTCTTCCTTGAAGTCACAGTTCTCCTTGTCTCGCAATTTGTATGTCAGTTCAGGAATCCTTTTTAATGGTTATGTTGAGATTATGTTGCTTGGGCATCTGGTTGGCCACTGTGAGAACAGGAAGGTGGCCCCCTGGCCTGATCCAGCAGGCTCATCTCATGGTTGCCTTGGGCCAGTCACTCACTCTCAACCTGATCTACCTCACAGGATTGTGGCAGGGACATAGGAAGCTGCCTTAGACTGAGTCAGAGCACTGGTCCATCTAGCTCAGTATGGTCTATCTATGCTGACCAGCAGTAGCTTTCAATGGTTTCAGACGGGTGTATCTCCCAACCGTATGTGGAGGTGCCAAAGACTAGAGACCAGCATACAAAACATGTTCTCTTTCACTGACCTTTGGCCTTTTGTGTCCCAAGTTCCCAGGAGGAAGGGTGGAATAAGAATGCAGTTCTATTGCTTCTTGCTTAAGCACACAGAATGTCTTTCAATAAGAGACCCGGTGGCTCTGTTTATGGGACCATGGTCCTAATGTTTGCTGCAAAAGAGACACGTGAACCTCTGAACTTTACATGCACCTTACTAATGCCTGATCAAAATATAGCCAAAGCTCAGAAAGCAAACATCTGTGTGACACTGCATTTCAAGAAGTGTAAGAATCAGGGATGGCATGAGTTACCCAAGGGAGTCCCAGGAATACAGCAGGAACAGTCCAGTGGAAAATTAAAGCACGTATTTCAATTTCAGTGGGACAATTCATTTCAATGGGACAGTTAAGACCACAGAAACGGCTTTAAAGTGCTTATGTGGCTGGCTCAAGGGTGGCTAGGATTAGTATCCTGAGCCGTTATGGAAGATCTTGACAGGGTGAGTAATCAGGTGGTTGCAGGGAATCTCTGGCCTGCCCGGATTATAATGGCCAACCAGCAGACATCAGGACTTCTACTGACTATGGATAGCTCATTTGGTAGAGCATAAGACTCTTAATCTCAGGGCCATGGGTTTCAGCCCCACGTTGGGTAAAAGATTCCTGCATCAAAAGGGGGTTGGTCTAGATGACCCTCATGGTCCCTTCCAACTCTACAAGTCTGTGATTCCGGTTCTCAATGTTTCACTTGAAAATGCTGGAAAGTTGTTCAGCTCTTGGTGCAGATGCCCTGGCCAGCAACCATTCCGTCTCCAGCATCCCACCTTTCCTTTTTAACACGGCACTAGAGCAAGCAGTAGTTGTTTTTCAATAGGGTAGCAACTATGCATCATGGAAAACAGCAAGAGAGAACACCAATGTGCATAAGATTTGCATTTGCTAATATATATGTAATACAGCGGACGCTCGGGTTGTAAATGTGATCCGTGTGGGAGGCACGTTCGCAACCTGCAGCATTCGCAACCCGCAGCGCCACATCTGCACACATGTGGGTTGCAATTCAGCGCTTCTGCGCATGCGCCAAAACCTGGAAGTAACCCGTTCCAGTACTTCCTGGTTTTAGCGCATCCTTTAACCCAAAAATGCACAACTTGCAGCGTCTGTAACCCAAGGTATGACTGTACATTATTTGCAGTACACCGATACATGTGGCTGATTTACCTATCCACATGAGGGTGTGACTACATTTCTGAAACAATATTTAGAAATTTGAAGTTTAATTAATTCAACATCCAGGTTGAAACATAAGAAAAACTCTGCTGGATCTGCCCATAGGTCCATCTACTCTGTCATCCTGTTCTCAATGGGCAACCAGTTGCCAGCAGGAAGCCTGCAAGCAAACAGGACCGGAGCACAACAGCCCTCTCCCGAAGGACTTGAGACGACATGCACAGAATTATGCTGTTCAGTCCCACTGATTTCAAATGGGGTTTATTCCCAGGTACGTGGGTCTGGGATTGCAGCAGCAGCTCAGTGAAACAAACGGGGAAGAGTGGAAGGCATGCACCTTATCAGGCATGAAACGAGTTGAACTTTGGATATGGACAAGTTAAAATCTTGTTTTTCTAGAGACAGCTAGAAAAAGAAAACGGAAACCCACAGCTTGGGAACTTCTGGTATGTTGTGGGCACTAACAACCACTGGCCCAGCAAACTGCCTGGCTGTGTGAAAGGTCACAGGGATAAATATGTCAAAATGCATTAAGAAATATCAGGAGCTAGCACCAAAGCACTTAAGCAAAACTGGTGCAAAGATATTGTTGCATCGATCTAAAAGGAAACTGCATAGGCCCCCAAATGGATCAAAGTCCAGGGAATCCCAAGGAGAAATTTGACAGGCAATTAGTAATTGTGTTGGTCCCCAATAATGAGGAATACACTGTTAAGATGGCGGAGCACCCAGTTTTGAGATGCGCTATTGAACACATCAGGCATGATCTAGCCTACTGCAGGAACCAGCAGGGCAGAGGTGGGGAATGTATAGCCCTCTATTGTTGGACTACAGCTCCCATCATCCCTGGCTGCTGGCCATGCTGGCTGGGGCTGATGAGTTCAGCAACATCTGGAGACCCACCGGTCCAATAGTTCCAATATATATACAGGACACATTTAAATGGCTTTATTTAAAACAACAACCAGTGTTGTTTTCTGAGATATGTTAAGGGGTTGTACGGCCTCTGGAAGGCGTTGTCAGGCTGCATGCAATAGATAGCTTAAGGCAGAGGGCATACAAAGATGACAGTGTGGGAAAGCAGCTTGATTGTGTTTGAAAAGACAAAATAAGCCCAGGAATGTATCAAGAAGGTGCTAGGATCAAGCAAGGGGAGATGGCTGCCATCTTGATGCCCTGCTTGTGAGCTTCCAAAGACATCACTAATGGAAAGAGAACATTAGGCTGGCCAGACCTTCCTCAGAGCAGTTATTCCGCCCTTATGACTCGTAAGTGGAACAGAATAGCACTTAACCCATGTGAATTGATGCTGAGAAAATACTGAAGTGTGATTACAACAGCAGTTTACAGACACTACCAAATAGATGCCATATTACTGAGCTGCTGTCAGCTGCCACAAATGTGGGTCAGGAGAAAGCTTTCATCTTTAGAACAATTGGGATGGGGAAACATTAGACGCCTCTGTTTTTGTCTCTGTTTGTTTGTAAGTTGCTTTGAGTTGGCCTGGGAAAGACAAAAGCGACCAGCGAATCTAATAAACAACAACAACAGACCTTGGGCTTGGGAAGGGATATATAAGTTTCCAGGCTCACAACACAACCTTCAAACTTCTCAGAAGTTTGAAGTCAGAGGGACGCACTCCCAAATAAATGTTTTACGGTGCAATCTTACACACACCTAGCCCACTGCTTTTCTTGGGGTTTACTCCCACTTACTGGCTTGCACTCTCGATGCCTTAATTTATTCCTCTGCTCATTTAAAGGGTGGGGGTGTCTTTCATAGGCATAACCACCATCTTTCTCTTCTAGTAGCCCAATGTGACTGCAAATTCGCCTCTCTTCCTCTGCCCTCAGTAGATCGCGGAATCAACTGGTCGAAATCCGGGTGGCCTACCAATGTACAGCAAATCGGTAAGAGTTTCTTGACTCCCACTCTGTTTTACAGTGGCAGCGACAGAGAGACCTTCCCAACTAATGAAAGGAAGACAGGGGAACACTTTCCCCTGAAAGCACCGCGAGCTGAGTTCAAGTTCTGGAACTGAAAACGGGGATCTGTGCCCATTCTAACTATGTGCTCTTTTGCGCTCGGCCCTGGTTGGGGGACCTGAGCAAGAGAGAGAGATAGAAAGAGAGAGAGAGAAAGAGAGAGATCCAAAGGGCACCTTCGATCCTGACGCCTGCCCATTCCTGCACCAAGCCAACCCAGCCTCTGCGCCCCTGGGAAAAGACTCACCAAAAACTGAAACATGGTGCCTGCGCGCAGCCGCCTTTTTCCGCCCCTCCGTTTCCAGTTGGAGAGCCTCGCGCGCAGCACAGAGCATCTTCTCTTCCGGGTGCCCGCCTCCCAACCCAACTCCGGCTTCCCTCACTGGCTGAGCCTTTAGACGGGCCTCTCAGGAGCCCTATCCGGGGCGCTCCTTGCTCTCGGCGGCGCGCACCTTAGGCAGCCTCGCTTCCTCCACTCTCTGCCCTCGTAGCTCCGGGAGGGAAGCGCGCGCAGGCTGATGATTCAGCGGCGAAGGTGGCGCTTGGCTGAGCTCGGTTTGCGGCGCCGACCGAGCTGCTTCCGTTACGTTGCTTGGCCAGGACCTCCATACACGCAGTTCTCAGGCTTGCATCCTGGGAGGAAGTTGCTTGGGTGCTGCTGGCGCAGTGGTTTGACTTCACCCCCCAGAGGCGCACGGCATTGTCTCTGGAGACAGACGGATACCAACAACAACAGAACCACCACCTGCGGGTCACAGGGAGGTCTACAATATAAAAACACAAAAATGCATAACAGTAACAATCATAATGATAAATACACACACACACACACACACACCAGTTTAAAACCCCATAGATGATTTAGTTAGCCAAAGGCCTGGGAGAAGAAGAATGTTTTTGCCTGCTGCCTAATGAAGAAGGTGCCAGGTGAGCCTCCCTGGGGAGAGGATAACACAAGCAGGGAGCCAGCCTTCATCATTTTGGTGGTTCATTTTCAGAACTTTTCCCAACTCTTACAACTGCCTTTTTGAAGTGAGGTGACCAGAACTACAGCCATGCAATCCTATGTATATCTGTTGTTGTTTAGTCATGTCGGACTCTTTGTTACCCCATGGACCAGAGCACGCCAGGCTCTCCTGTCTTCCACTGCCTCCCACAGTTTGGTCAAACTCATGCTGGTAGCTTCGAGAACACTGTCCAACCATCTCGTCCTCTGTCGTCCCCTTCTCTTTGTGCCCTCCATCTTTCCCAACATCAGGGTCTTTTCCAGGGAGTCTTCTCTTCTCATGAGGTGGCCAAAGTATTGGAGCCTCAGCTTCAGGACCTGTCCTATACAGTGCTACCTCAGGTTACATACGCTTCAGGTTACATACGCTTCAGGTTACAGACTCCGCTAACCCAAAAATAGTACCTCGGGTTAAGAACTTTGCTTCAGGATGAGAACAGAAATCGTGCTCCAGCGGCGCAGCGGCAGTAGGAGGCCCCATTAGCTAATGTGGTGCTTCAAGTTAAGAACAGTTTCAGGTTAAGAACGGACCTCCAGAACGAATTAAGTACTTAACCCGAGGTACCACTGTAATTATATGTGTGTGTGTTTCTGTTAACAATGTGCTTTACTGTCCCAATCAAGGAACTTGTTAAAAATAAAAGTTTTTTGTAATTGTAGAATGACAAACAATGCCATTTTGCTGATGACAGAATAAAGTGTGTGTGTGTGTTTCGTTCCACCACTACATTCCACAAATCTCCCATTTTTGAATGGAAGTAGCCTTAATAGCAGCATCTTAAAAAGTAGAGACATCACATTGCCAACAAAGGTCCATATAGTAAAAACTATGGTTTTCCCAGTAGTGATGTATGGAAGTGAGAGCTGGACCATAAAGAAGGCTGACCGCCGAAGAATTGATGCTTTTGAATTATGGTGCTGGAGGAGACTCTTGAGAGTCCCATGGACTGCAAGAAGATCAAACCTATCCATTCTTAAGGAAATCAGCCCTGAGTGCTCACTGGAAGGACAGATCGTGAAGCTGAGGCTCCAATACTTTGGCCACCTCATGAGAAGAGCAGACTCCCTGGAAAAGACCCTGATGGGAAAGATGGAGGGCACAAAGAGAAGGGGACGACAGAGGACGAGATGGTTGGTCAGTGTTCTCGAAGCTACAAACATGACCAAAGTTTGACCAAACTGCGGGAGGCAGTGGAAGACAGAAGTGCCTGGCGTGCTCTGGTCCATGGGGTCACGAAGAGTCGGACACGATTAAACGACTAAACAACAACAGTCTTGTTACTTCAACAAAGTTGCGTGAGTCAATGGAGGGCACAGAGGAAGTTGTTTGTTAATATAGCTGATAAACAGGATTCATGTATCAAAATGGTCATGCTTTGTCTTAGCTGTTAGAAATGCATTCAAGTTTGTTGAATAATGAAATTTTACAAAACAAACACAAGATGGCACCAGAAATCCACATTAGTGGATTTTTCTCAGTGGCGATACTTTATTCATTTAACGACCACAGAAACGGAGTCATAATCTCAAATCTGCAGGGGGCAAATTTAAACATTTTCCCATCCAGCTATATACCTGTGACTCTCAAGGAATTTTTGGACTCCAACTCCCATCAACCCCTTTCATTTCATGCGTATATTTCCTTCAGTAATTGATATAAGCAAACTTTGTAAATGAACCTAGCACAATTACATTTTGGGCAATGGAAGCTAGATGGCAATGTTTCCCTTTGCAAATAGTTTAATCATTCCTCCACAATAATTAGGAACATGTTAAGCTTTTTCAAGTTCTGGGTTTTTTGTTTGTTATGCAATTCACATACATGGATGATAAAGTGTAATAACAGCTGAAATATGTTGTGCTTTCCTTCCCAAAGCCACACCAGACTTTCTGTTTATTCCAGAACAGGAGCCTTTGTTCTGCCCGCTTTCTTGAACTTAGCAGAGCAGTAACTCTGGTATTCAGCGACACATCACTGAAGTGACTTAGCAAATGTGCAGATCCCTCTGGGGAAATTTCACTGGTCTTATACAAAGTGATTTGGTATTTTTCCAAATTCCTTGGGTGATATTCATCTGAGGAAGACCCCCCACACACACTTTATACTTTGGTTTTGACTGGTATTTGATTGGCAATGTTCACCAGAGGGATCTGCACATTTGCTAAGTGAAATTATTTATCCAGGTTGGCCTTTAACTGCGGAGAAGGACAAAAGGCTCAGTGGTAGAGCACATGCTTTGAATGCAGAAGGTCTCAGCATCTCCGGGTAGGGCTGGGACAGAACCCACTCTGAAACATTGGAGACCCACTGTCAGTCAGTATGTGTAATATTTAGCTAGATAAACCAAAGATGATCTTACACTCCTGTTTAAATCAGTCCTTATTAAGAGGAAGGGCTGTAATTTAGGAGCAGAGCATCTGCTTTGCATGCCAAAAGTCCCAGGCTCAATCCCTGATGTCTCCAGGTGCAAGAACAACTTACACGTACCCACTTGACCATTTAGATCAGGCATAGGCAAACTCGGCCCTCCAGATGTTTTGGGAGTACAATTCCCATCATCCCTAGCTAACAGGACCAGTGGTCAAGGATGATGTGAATTGTAGTCTCAAAACATCTGGAGGGCCGAGTTTGCCTATGCCTGATTAAGATCAACAAAATTGGCACTGCAGGTGCCACATAATTCTCATTTCACATATGTAAGAACTCGATCATTGGGCGGCCCCTGCACTTTGGAACTCCCTGCCTATTGAGATTAAGCAGGCTCCTTCAACATACTCTTTTTGGTGCCTGCTAAAAACATTCCCGTTTAGACAAGCCTACCCAGATGCTTAGAAAGGTGGTTTTAATCTGTTTTAGTATTCTAACTTTTGTATGTTTTGTAGTAGGGTTGTAAAATCTGTCTCAATTTTATTGCCTTGTGTTTTTGTAAACGCTTTGAGGTTTGTTTTTACAATTCAGTGGCTTATAAAGTTAATGAAATGAAATAAAGAAAAATGAACCAATAAGCCTCTGCTAGGCAGTGTAGCATTACTGAGGTAGGTGGGCAGATTCTTTTTCCAGCAGCAAATCATTATGGACATAGGGTGGTACACTTCTACAATTTGTTTAATTGCTCCGGCATCAAGATCCAGTACAGTGGTACCTCGGGTTCCAGACACTTCAGGTTACAGACTCCGCTAACCCAGAAATAGTACCCCAGGTTAAGAACTTTGCTTCAGGATGAGAACAGAATTCATGCCCCGGCGGCGCGGCGACAGCGGGAGGCCCCATTAGCTAAAGTGGTGCTTCAGGTTAAGAACAGTTTCAGGTTAAGAATGGACCTCCGGAGCGAATTAAGTACTTAACCTGAGGTACCACTGTACTGGCATTTCAAAGATGCTGCAACTAGACCCAACATAATAAATGGACTGCCCCCCCCCCCTGTTCTGCTCCATCTCTGTGACATAACTAGTCCCAGAGTCCACTTTTCTTCTGGCTGTGCAAAGCAAATAACTGATCTTAGAAGTGCCATATTCTCGGTTTGGTATTGCCACGGGCACTTTTCTATTTCTTTTGCTCATCTGACTTTTTCTTTCTTTCTGCCACCAGCTTAACTGTGCACATTTTTGCTCATGCATATTAAAACTGTGCTTTGTGGCAGGGGATGGGGGGGGAGCGGTTGAGAATGCAATTATGCATACAATTGGATCAGCAAGGAAGAGTGTGTGCGCTCATGGTTGCCAAAAATTAAATTTAGTTTGCTGTCTCCATCCATGAGCTGAAAAATACAATAAAAACGAACTATTTCCTGCTTTTTCATGCAACCCGAAATCTGCTGCCTGAGATAGCTGCCTCACTCTGCATAACAGCAGGGCTGGGCCTGAGAAGGAGTCCCTGGGAAGGACTTCCTTGCATGAGGTGTGTGGTCTTCCCAAGCTATCATGTTTTGTCCTGTGTGCTTGATTATTTTTGGTTTCTACATCCTGGTTTGGTCCTGTGAAAAAGACTACTGCATTGCAGAGTTTGGACTAGACAAGCCTATGACTCTATGATTCTACAGACTTCTATACAGAAGAACATTTTGGAAGTCGAATGGACTTCTGGAACCGATACCATTCGACTTCTAAGGTACCACTGTACTTCTTAGGAAGCAGGAAGAAGTGCTCTAAGATCTCCCAGCCATGGCACCACACTAGATTTCTGTTTATTCCTTTTTACAATGACAATCGGTGCTTTGCTTTTGGACCTTCCTACACCAGCACTGCCCTAGAAAGTAAAAATGCTTCTAGTGTGTGTGTGTGTGTGTGTGTGTGTGTGGCAGAGGGGAGTTTTGTTTATTTATTTATAACCTGCTTAACATTCAAGCAAAGTCTCTAAGCGGTATACAAATCTCAATATAGAATAACAGCAATGTAAAGCATTACTAACCATATCATTTTGACGAAACAAAATACAAATTTAGCAACCACATTC